ATCGCACGACTTTTCACTTCAATTCAATGGCTTTAATCACTGAAACTAATTGTTTTAATCAATTCGTAAGGTGTTATGATTGGCCTGTTCAGGGTAAGTATATGTTTATGCTAGTTGCACTGTTTATGTTGACATATGGCATAAATCTCATCCTTGTTATTGAAATTATATAATTATTTTATATTCTATTGTCATTTTATGTCAAAATCAGCAAAAAAGTGCAAATAATTTCTGATTCGTTGTGTAATTCAAATACAATTTGGTCTTTAATCTCATGCTTTGTGTTCTCAGAATTGATAACAAGTTTTATCATCTGATTATTAACTAACTTAGTTCTCTCTCTCTCTCTCTCCTCCTCTCTCCCTCTCTCTCCCTCTCTCTCCCTCCCCTCTACCTAGAAATATGTAATCTATAATCATATTTTGCATATTCACAATATTAGTTATTTAAAAAATTTATTTATTAACAATAGGAACTATACGGTATATGATTTTATTATATTAAAATTAGATTCAATAAATTAGTTATTAAAAGACAAAATAAACATATGAATTGTAAATTTTTTATTAGAATTTTAATTAATACAACAAAGTAACATTAACATTATCCAACTTTAAAACAAATAACATTTTATTTAAACACTTGTTGCGATTGTTTAGCAAGGTTATCTGACTGCTGCTCAAAGAGTTTAGCTTTAGACCCTTTTACCACCAAATTCTTGATGTTAAACATGAATCCCGTTCCCGCGAAGTTATTATAGTTTTTCTTATGGGGTCGGGGATCAAAACCCGGGAAACAGATACGCTTGTCCTCATCATCTCTGTGCGGACAGTCTTGTTTGCCGTCGCAGATCTGACTCAAGTTGATACACAAACCTATGGTTCCCTTACAACCATACTTTCCGGGCGCACACCTGTACTCATGGGATTCAGTAGTAGTTTCGGGGGTTTCAGTGGTGACAGCCGTGGGGTCGGGTGAGCCCGTGCCTGGAGAGGTAGCTTTAGTGGGTGCTCCAGTCGTAGTCCACTGATGCCAGTCGTACGTAGTTCTGGTCCCAGGCTGACCGGTAGGGTATGTGCGAGTCCATTGGTGCCAATCGTATGTGGTCGAGGGTACCGGTGCCTCAGTTGCGTTGACCGGTCCAGGAGGTGGCGGTGCGTCCCGTTTGTCCCGTTTGGCGGTTCGGAATAAATGTAAATATTCTTTAACTTCTTCTTTGCTTCGGAGGACTACCGAAGAGCTGCCTTCAAAGGCAATGATAAACAAAAACACAATTACTTTGACTCTAATGTCAAACATGTTGTGTCTCTCTATGCGTTTGTTTGCCTACAAATCGGTGTATGAATTGCTTTTTGTGTGAATTTGTTTTCTACAAACAGTAGGACTAATAAGTTTCTAATAGTTTTATGGCATTTGTTATAATTTTGTGATTATTTCATACGAATTGTGTAAATACTTTTCCCCTTATCTATGATTACTGTGCGTAAGGATGATCTCAAATTCACTGCACTTTACCACTTTGACTGTGAACCTGGTACTAAAATACAATATGTGAGGTTATGATTGCAATCGGTCGTGATATCAGTTTGTTGTCCAGACTTTAAGTCGGCAAACATATGTCACATTTGGTACTTAATTGTGATAATATATGGCATAAGTTTTTGGTAGAAATGTATAATTCTCACGCGATTTAAAAGTTTCTACTAAAGTACTCAACTGTGCTTAAAGTACTCAAAACTATACCAAAAATTACTATTTTTTATGTAAAATTTACCTAATATTTGCCTCGACAACAGGTACCCCTATCCTGACACATGCATGTATAGGTATTTCTATGGGAAATAATGCACACAATTTTATTAAACTTATTTTTTAAAAACTTTTATATTACAGATTAAAAGCACTAAATACTAATCTATTGTTTTTGAAGTTTATGAGCTTATGTGGCGAATAACACAAACAAATATTTTGTATTATATTTTTTAATAAAAACAATTTTATTTTTGTGTTTAGCGTTGGTATGTATTGTGGTATTAAAAACAGATTACATAAATACAAATATTTATCATTTCACTCCTGCCTTAACGTTATCGGAGTCTTGATCAAACATTTTGACGTCTGAGTTGTAGATGAGTAGGTTGTCCACGTGAAACATGAATCCCTGCCCATCGAAACTGGCCTGGCTATCGCTCGACACCTCTCCCTCATCAGCACCGGCTGTCAATTTCTCACCGATTTTTGCCTTATTCTCAATTCGGGGCCAATTCTTGCATAGATCCCTGTCCTCGTCATCCCTGTGCGGACAGTCGACCCTTCCGTTACAGATATTCTCCAATTTGACGCAAATATTAAGAGTTCCGTTGCATAGATATCGTCCTATATGTCAATCATTGCATACAATTAGCCACAAATTTAATTATAAATCAAAGACTCAATACTTGCCGGAAGGACACCCGTTGTTGATCCAGAGGCCAGTCTCCGCTTCCATCTTCTCAATCGTCTTCTCGACCTTTGGGTCCACCACTTTCCTCACATAACTGTCCCCTTGTTTGACAAAACTGTCGTATTTATTGACCAAATTCTTGCCGGGATTATAGTTTTTGTATCGATCNTAATCAGATGATAAAACTTGTTATCAATTCTGAGAACACAAAGCATGAGATTAAAGACCAAATTGTATTTGAATTACACAACGAATCAGAAATTATTTGCACTTTTTTGCTGATTTTGACATAAAATGACAATAGAATATAAAATAATTATATAATTTCAATAACAAGGATGAGATTTATGCCATATGTCAATATAAACAGTGCAACTAGCATAAACATATACTTACCCTGAACAGGCCAATCATAACACCTTACGAATTGATTAAAACAATTAGTTTCAGTGATTAAAGCCATTGAATTGAAGTGAAAAGTCGTGCGATTACTGTCACAAGAGTTTAGTATAACTTTCATCAGCCAGTTATTAAGTCGTGAAACACTTTAGTCTAAACGCAAACATGTTATTCAAATCACTCGTAATACTAATCGCCGTTAACTACATATCGTGCGCACCGGTCAACGGCACACATCCCGACGCCATCGATACGGCCGGCGCCGGCATAGACTCGATGTTAGGATGCGGTCGCTCTCTGTACTCATGCAAGTCGTCGCAGGGCTTTAGACCCCAATGTATCCGATTTGAGCAGATCTGCGATGGCGTGAAGGACTGTAAGGACGGGGAGGACGAGGAGAACAACTTATGTCTGTCGCAGGAGATCAAGGATCTGCTGAAACAAAAACAAACTGATGGCACGTATAACGAGTTCGCGGGCACAGGCTTTATGTTCAGTGTGGGCAACCTGATCATCGGTGGCGGATCCGATGTCAAACTCTTTGACCAACAGTCAGACAACGTGGCCCTCCAGAACAGTAAGCAAGATATCACCAGTAATAGCCAACAACAGCAACCACAACAACAGGATTTGCAGCACCAGGTGCCACAGACACCCGCTAAACATTAATTATGTATTTGATTTATGTTTGTATGAAATTCTGTTAATTATTTCTGTTGTATAACTCTATCAATAAAGATATGATTTCAATGGTTGTGTAAATAAATTGTGATTTATTTGTATTGAAGTTACCATTGATTCAAACATTTATTCAGACTACTAAATAAAATTCCTACCAATACATATAATATGCTTATTAGTACTATAGTATTAATAAATTATTACTGTATTTACTGTATACCTATTAATTGTTCTAGATACTTTTTGTTTGATAGACTCATTGGTTACTACACTCACCTGAATATACCTTTTCCTTATCTCTGAAACACTGAATGAAGATTAAGAATGGAAGTGAAGTCATGTATCCTAAGCCTAATACCCACTATCGAGTAACCATTTCCTATGAATCCCTTCCGCATAATAAGAAGTTTTTTGGTTTTAATTTTAATTTTTAATATTTCCTACATTAATAACAAAGCATTATATAATAATCGTTTATGTAAAGTTCTATAGATCAATAATTCTCTCGAAAACTAACACAAATACCATAATGTATCAAAATGTTTAAATCCATTTACAGTATGACTTTTATTTGTTTGAAAAATAAAAAGTTGTCATATGAAAATATTAGACCAGTCTACATTCAAAGTTAAAGAAAATCACTTTAAAAAATTATACTTCAAATAATAATAAATTGATTATTTGATTTTTGATTTATAGATTTATACTAAAGTCAAATATCAATTATAATGAATAAACTCGTAGTGTTATTGACATTATCAGCTATTATGAATGCTTTTGTTTGTTATGATTTAAATGATGTGAATAATAAATATAAAGATTATTTTGAAGTGAGAAATTCTCGAGATTTGACGGGAAAAGTAGTTTTGGTGACCGGATCCAACTCAGGCATCGGTGAAGCTATTGTCAAACTGCTCGCTATATTAGGCGCTCAGGTGGTGATCACCGGTAGGAAAGAGACTGAGATTAGGAAAGTATTAATTATTTCTGTTGTATAACTCTATCAATAAAGATATGATTTCAATGGTTGTGTAAATAAATTGTGATTTATTTGTATTGAAGTTACCATTGATTCAAACATTTATTCAGACTACTAAATAAAATTCATACCAATACATATAATATGCTTATTAGTACTGTAGTATCAATAAATTATTACTGTATACCTATTAATTGTTCTAGATACTTTTTGTTTGATAGACTCATTGGTTACTACTGTACATTGTATATACCTTTTCCTTATCTCTGAAACACTGAATGAAGACCAAGAATGGAAGTGAAGGCATGTATCCCAAGTCTAATACCCACTATCGAGTAACCATTTCCTATGAATCCCTTCCGCATAATAAGAAGAAGTATTTAACCTTTATTTTTGGTTTTAATTTTAATTTTTAATATTTCCTACATTAATAACAAAGCATTATATAGTAATCGCTTGTGTAATGTTCTATAGATTAATAATTCTCTCGAAAACTAACACAAATACCATAATGTATCAAAATGTTTAAATCCATTTATGACTTTTATTTGTTTGAAAATAAAAAGTTGTCATATCAAAATATTAGACCAGTCTACATTCAAAGTTAAAGAGAGTCACTTAAAAAAATTATACTTCAAATAATAATAAATTGATTATTTGATTTTTGATTTTTTGATTTATACTAAAGTAAAATATAAATTATAATGAATAGACTCATAGTGTTATTGACATTATCAGCTATTATGAATGCTTTTGTTTGTTATGATTTAAATGATGTGAATAATAAATATAAAGATTATTTTGAAGTGAGAAATTCGCGAGATTTTACGGGAAAAGTAGTTTTGGTGACCGGATCCAACTCAGGCATCGGTGAAGCTATTGTCAAACTGCTCGCTATATTAGGCGCTCAGGTGGTGATCACCGGTAGGAAAGAGACTGAGATTAGGAAAGTATCGCAAGAAGTGTTGCGATTATCACCAAAAGGACTCAAAGTATGTATTCATAGCTATAGTAACTTAATTAAAATACAAGCATTTAAACTGTTTTTGATAGCCATTGGAAGTGGTGGCAGATGTGACCAAAACTAAAGACTTGGAAAAACTCATGAGTTCTACGATTAAGAGGTTCGGAAAGTTAGACGTTTTGGTTAATAACGCTGGCATTGGAGTCATGACTACAATCAGGGACAAGGATTTCATCACCAATTTTGACAATGTTTTTAAAATTAATGTTCGCTCCGGATTGCAACTCATACAACTGGCCCTCCCATACCTGGACCAATCAAATGGCACTATTATTACCACATCCAGTATAGCTTCACTCAGACCTGTATGACACAAACTCTACTTATACCAAATTAATAGCTAACTAATAAATTAATTATCAGGGTAAATCTCCCATACCGTACGGCGCTTCCAAAACAACTGTCGATTACATAACTAAAGCACTGGCAGTAGAATTGGGTCCAAGAATTAGAGTGAATGCTATTAAGTAAGCATTTAAATCATATTTTATAGTTTTATTATTATTTCATTTTTTGTCATTTTCAAAGTCCTGGCTATATATTGACCGATGAGCTGGTACCATTTATAAACCCAGATAGGCTTTCCCAGTTGATTGAGTCCACTCCACTTCACCGTATTGGTCAGCCCCTGGATGTTGCCAAAGGAGTGGTATTCCTGGCCTCAAGTGATGCTCATTTTATTACCGGCGCTAATCTGGTGATCGATGGGGGGATTATCTATACTTAATTGACATTAAATTATATTCTCATATTTTTATTTCATTTTAAATCTACTAAACACTAAATTAATTTTAAAGTTGGCACTTTTTACAAATAAATGTAAAATCACTTAGGAAGTATAAAATAAATTATTGCTTTTACCACGGTAATATCATTTTATTCAATAATAATTTTGAATATATTATATTTACTGATAAACTGCACCTCAAAAGAATATACTTTTAATCTGATGTTGATTTGAAGTAATTGATAACATATTAACTGAAAAAGTGTTGGAAAATATAAATAAATTATATTTGCGTAATAATGATCTGGTAAAAGATTATTTTTGAAATTAATAATTATTATCTTTTGTAATATATTGGAAATACAAATAATTGATCAAGGATGCATACTATTTCAACATAGTGTACGATAAATCAGTCAGATAAAATGTTTTCACCAAGATATTGTGTATAAAAAACAACGAATTTAGATCATTAATGAATTATTTGCAAATGTGTTAATAATAATTAACAAAAAAATATATTTCAAAAATGAAATTCATATTACTGTTAGCATTATTTTCAATAGTAAATGCAATTGATTTCAATGATTTCGATATCAAAGACTACGAAGACGTGAAAAACTCGCGAAACTTTACGGGAAAAGTAGTTTTGGTGACCGGAAGTAGTTCTGGCATTGGGGAGGGAATCGTCAAACTGTTCTCTATATTGGGGGCCAATGTTGTGGTCAACGGACGTAAGGACGCAGACGTCCAGAAAGTGGTTCAAGAGATCCAACAATTATCTCCATATAAACTAAAAGTAATATTAATATTAATTTTATTTTATACTAAATTTTGAAATGATTTGTAAAGCCATTAGGAGTTGTGGCGGATGT